TTTTAAATCCGGTGAGAAAGAAGTAAGCAGAGCTGTTGGAAAAACCCATCATGGGAGCAGGCAGCCTTTGGAGACAATAATCTTGACTCAGTCATCTCCTCCACAGATTTTTAAGAGTGTGATTTCATAGTTTCCAGAAGCATCAGATTTAATTGCTGAATGTAGAGAATAGCCACACCGTTTCTCTGCTCCAATGTCCTCAAGGTCAGTTTCTGATCTGGAAACCATTATTTAGTTCAGAGTACACTCATCAGTCCCAGCACCTTTCAGAGCTTGATGCAGTCTTTCAGCTAAAAAGACAGGCATGTTCCTTGAAAAGCGAACTATGGCCAGCAGTAAGTCTTCAAAATGCCCAGATAATTCTCCTTTTATGCTGTCCTCAATGTCCTGGCTAATATGTCTGTATTCATCACATGTTATTAAAGTTTTAGTTGAGGAAAGCACCTTAAACACAGGATGTCAGCTAATTTATCTTTGGATGTGCCTCAACCATTCTCACCAGCATTACAGAGAATCTGGGCATCCTTTCTGGCCAGATACTCATCCACTTTCAGGCTTTCATCTCTTCTGCCATCTTCCAGAGTCAACCGAGCTTTCTGGAAGACACCAGATGTTTCAGAACTAATGTCATCTCCAAGACTCTTCTTATGTACTGTGTAGTAGGCTTGAGCGATCTCCTTCATCTGTCTGCTTGTCCTGGTGTTTAAGATTCAATCAATGCATCTTCATTTGTTGCAGTGCCCTTCAAGCATTTCTTCAGCTGCTTCACATCAAACACTGCTGGAGGAGTCACATTGGCCATCATGAGATGCTCAAAGTGGCCAGAGAGATTGCCCTTCAAGAAAATGTTTTAGTTTCTTTCCATATGCTGTTTGATATTCCTTAACAATCAGCGGCCGCTGTGCATTCGATCTCTCAGTCAGAATGCTGATAAGCGTTTTCTTGTCAGTTTCAATTCCTCTGATTGCCTTACAAATTGTTTCAGCGTCCCCTGATGGGCTAAGGCCTAGATAAGCTCACACTGTCCCTTGGTGTCCAACCCAGAGAGATGCCCACCTTTGTCTTAAATTCAGATCATACTAATCCTGAAGCGCCGCCGCTTGGACCCGTGTGCCAGAGAACCGTGAGCCAGCTCTATGAGCCCTGCGAGCCAAGTGTGCACCCCGCACACTGGAGCTTGGAGCTGGTTCCCTATTATTAAGGTTTTAAAGAGCAGACTATAGAATAGCACTATAGTAAATAACCATTTGTGTAAAGAAAAAAGAGTCTATATAAGCATATAAAAATCTGGAAAAATACACTCTATTAAAAATGAAAGATGAGATTATGAGGAATTTTTACTTCATTGTATTATTATTTTTTCAATACTCATGAATTACCAGGAGACTCTATCCATTTAATAGAATAAAAATAATTGTATATAAGGTAACAAAAAAGTAAACATCTTAAAAATGTTTTAATTAAAGATAGCTTAAGGCAAAGATTGTAATTTCCATATTAATGTGTATCATGAATACTACACATTTTTCATCTTTGTGGCGTGAGGAGAAAAGTGGTGAGGGGAATAAAAAGACTGGAAATAACAGACAGCAATTAGTTCTACCAACGATTTTCTCCATTTTCTATAAGTATTATCCACTTAGCAAAATTTATTTCTGTAAGATTTAGGGTTTTCTACAGCACTTTTTATCAGACTACTTCCTTTCACTCCTGATTGAACAGATTTCTAGGTTCATTTTTCTTGGAAAGTATAGATTACTGACAATATTGACAATGCGGAAAGGTGGAAACACTAGGGGAAAAATGAATAGCTTGATTTATATTGTTAGTTCTGAAAGGGCTGTAAGGCACTTAATTTTATTTTTATATAAAATCACTTTTTATTATAATACCCTTGGTTTTTGCAGATAACTGTAGCTTATTTGTATTCAATCCACAACAAAGAATTCTCCTCAAAAATTTTGAAAATACTATGGATACTTGTATTTTATTTTATTCTGTCATGATGCCACCAAGATCTTGGTTAGATGGCTGTCACTCCAGTTGAATGGACATGAAAATCTCCTCCCCTTTGCACAAACAGACTAGGCAGGCTTTCGTTTTGGTCAGAGGTATTTGTAAACCACTTTGTGAATTGAGTACTAGGCTGTCAGTTTCCATGCTAGGTAATGGGGTGCCAGAGTGAGTAAGTTCTAGGGCTCTAGCTTTGGTGTATGTTTGGACATCTCATCAATGAAAATAAACTTACTACTCTTCAGGTGGAGTATGGAGGAGATGTAAGTGCCACTCCTGACTTAAATCTGTCATCACTTGTCTAGGATTTTCTATGTGACAGGCGCCCCCTAGTGAACAGTGGGACTAAAATTGGCCTCCATTATAAAAGGGAGCTGGAGAAATATCTGAAGCTGTTTTAACAATTTCATATTTATAAAACAAGTAAAGATGTTGAAGTTTTGTGTGTGTGAATGGGGGTGAGGGTAGGATCTCTACTCCATAAAAAACATCCAGGATTTCACAATATAGAAGTAGTAATCAATTTTCTAGATGAAGTTTAAACTAATTAGAACTTTGCTAGATCATCAAACTACATGAATAGATCATTGATCTTTATCTACTCTCCAAATGTAGAATTGACTGTTTTTTTTTTAAATGTAGCTACTAGAATCTCACTGATACACATAACTTGGGGTTGAGACTTGAGAAACCATAATTTCAATCCCAAAAACTTTAATCTGGTAAATATATTTGATAATTTATATTTTATTTGATTAGTTTCAAGAACAGACCATTTAATGAAGACTGGTTGCTTGAATGATACAATAAGTTATTTTTAATTACCTTTCCTCTCTCTAAAGCTTTTGCCACTTATAACAGGCTTTATTATGTTCTGAAATAAGTACAACTTTGACAACATGATAAACATTTATTAATTATTACTTATAGCACTGGGTTAGGTCCTCAATAAGGAACCCAAAGTAATTATCCTCTAGATGCTTCCAAAATAAAATAAAGTAAAAAAATATACAACCAGGTCAACTGGAAAATACATCAAATAAAAGATAATATTCACATTATTTTAACTGTGTCAAAGAGCAGCAATCACACACTTGATCAGTAGCCTTTAAATGGCGCATCCTAAACCAACAATCAGAGAAAAGGTAAAACAAAAAGCAGGTGACATGTTTAGATAACAACTAGTTGGAAAGGTTATTGGGCTATTCCCAAAGGTCTTGTTTGATGTCAGAAATTATCAAACTATGAACTGTATGTAGTGTATTTTTGCTACTTTTCAGGGGTTACTTTCCTGAGGTAGATTATCCTGTTGCCTCCCACTTTATTATCTAAACAATTTTTCAAAATAAAAATTACTTTTTCTCCTTTTGCGTAGATTGTCCTTTGCCTCCTGAGCAATTGTCCTTTCAGATTCACCTATTTCCTTCAGGTCCAAGCCGACTTCTCTAACCATAAGACCCCTCTTCGTCCTCCCTCTTCCCTGAACTCCTAATAGTCTAATTTAGCACAATTATATCTCTGATTATTCCATGTATATTAAAAGGCTCTACAAAACGCATGCACACATTCATTCAAATTACAGTTGCCCATGGAACACCACCTGGGACTGGGGCTGCGGGGTTAGGGGCGCAGACTACCCATGCAGCAGAAAATCTGTGCTTTAACTTAAGTCGTCCATCTGTATACGCGGATTCCCCACTGAGGACGAAAACGCGTATCTGTTAATGTGTTAATGAGCAGACCCCAAAGTCCATTCTTCGTCACTACAGCTTCACTAATTTTGAAGGATAACTTGTGCGTTTCCCTTGTCATACTGACAAACGTGCTTGCGGGAGTGAAGAAAACAGTGTGAATGGCAGGTAAGGACCAAAGCACCTGGCCTACCTCATCCTTGCCCACAAAACGCCCATTCTTCCCCGTCGTGTTTCCTAAGATGTATCCGAGGCGGACGCGAGGTCACCGGTGGGAAGGCGGTGTACTCCTCCGCAGGGCCTGATGCCGGGGAGGGAGGCGTGGAAAGAGCCCAGGCCGACTCGCGGGGGAGGGTGGCAAGGAGCGACCCAGGTGTCTCGCTCCGGCGCAACCAGGGAAAGGGGTAGGCACGAGGGGTGCGGTGCCACTCGCGCCTGCGCGGACCTGGCTCCCGCCGCCCCCTGGACGCAGCATCCTTGCTCCCGATCCCGAGCGCGGGGGCGGGGGGAGGGGCGCGCGAAGCTTCCGCCCCGCGCGCGCCCACGTGACGCCAGCCTAGGAGATTGGAGCGGCTGCGGCGGCGGGAGGCGGCAGACGGTGCAGCGCTCGGCGCTCAGGGCAGGAGCTCGTCGTCCTCCTCTCGGCAGCCTTGACGGCACCTTCTCCTCCGCCCCGCTCGCCGCCGCTGCCGCCGCTGCTGCCGCTGCCGCCGCTGCAGCCACCGCATCCCTTTCCCTGCGGTGCCTCGCGAAGGAGCAGAAGACGCAGCCGGATCGCCGCCGTTAGAGGGGTCCCCGGCCGCCGCTCGCTCCCTCGGCTGTCGCCCTCGGTCAGCCCTCCCGCGGGGTCTCCGCTTCTCCTCCCGCCGCCACCTGCTCCCGCTGACCGTCGCGATGGGGCTCCTGGACTCGGAGCCGGGCAGCGTCCTGAACATGGTGTCCACGGCGCTCAACGACACGGTGGAGTTCTACCGCTGGTCCTGGACCATCACAGGTAAAGCCGCTCGCTGGTGTCCCCCATCCTCGCCCGTCCCTGCGGGAGGCACCAGCCCCCGGCGTCTGAGCGCCCCGGCGCGGGCCCTCGAGCCCCCTGCCCCCTGCGGCTGTTGGGATGCTGTGGATCGGAGGCGCCGGGGCGCGGAGCCCGCTGTCGGGCGCTGGTTAATCCGATCCGAACGTGAAGGCCACCGCCTCCCCCGGCGCTCGCACAAGGTTTCCCTCTGAGCTTCCACCATCTCTCATCAGCTTCTCGGATGCTGGAGCTGACATATCTGATGGAGCCTGTGCTGCTGAGAGTTCTTCGCAGGAACCGCCCCACCCTATATTCCCATGTCTCCCTCTCATCTGACAGTTCTAATTTATGCACACGATTGGTGTTGAACATTTAGTAATATTTCGTATGGAGAGATGGATGGGGGAGGGGAAGGCTCCGATGGTAGCTGTCTTTTTTGCTTCGGCCTCCTGGTTGCTTTGACATAACCTGCTAACCTGCTAATATTTTGTCTAGCTCATCCACCTATAGTATAATTTGGAATGAAAAGGAACATGCTACTGTTTTGGCACCTTGAACCTTGAAGACTGTTCGTTTCTGGGGCATTTTCAACAGCAATTATGTTTGAAGTGATTGTCTATAATGGATTTGCGCAGTGCAGTCACGGGGAGGGGAAGGCTAAAACACCGGGAAATAAATAATTCTTTAGGAAGGGGGTCTCTACAGCAGCACCTAGAGGCTGTCCCAGAAGCCTACATATATACAATTTTCTTAAATCAGCAAACTTCCCTTTTAGCTGTTAGAGTTTGACAGGACCTGCAATTCGTTGATTTATGCAGCTATCCTAGCAGAAACAATGGTCATGCTATTTTTACATTGTACCATTATTTTCTTCAGTTTCTTCAGTTGCATTTGGTTTTAAGGCATTTAAAAGTTTTTGAAATAAAACTTAGGTTAACAGGATTTTAGAAATGTTACGATTTAAATTTTTAATCCTTTTGCAGTATTGCACTGCATCCCATCAGGGGAAGAAATTAAGGTTCCAATTATGACTCTGCCTTCCTTCCCTAGAAATGAAAATATATTCCTATAGTTTTTGTGTTTGTCGTTAGAGTAAACGGGGTAGTGGTTACAGCATGAATACAGTACAACACATGGGGTATATGCTGTGGAGAAAATGTGTTGCTGGAATTATTTCTGGGTGAGACAAAATGATTCTTTGACACTGATGTGGCTTTAACCTTTAGAAAAGTGTTCTTTTTCAAAGCTCTCAAGTTAAATACTGAGAAGTAAGCTATTTAATTAGCCATTGCAATTGAAAATGGTTGAAAGACAGTTTTTAATACAGGTGTCCCTTTTTAAGTCTTTCTTTTATGTACTGTTACACTGAAGTTTTACTGTACCTACACAAGCTGGGAAAGATGTACCCTTCCCTTCGTCTCTGAAGTGATTTTGGTTATTTAAACATTGCATCAGGGTTTGCCATTACACAGTTGTGCATAGCTGAACATCAGACAAGCTCTTTGGCAGGTAATTGCACTTTACATACTTAAGAGTTCAGACATAGTCAAGGTCCTCCAATCTCCCTATAGCCAGAACCACACCCAGGAGTGCTCATTCCTGTCTGTCATTCCCTTCCCACCTCAGCCTTTGCCACCTCTTGAGTCTCAGAGAGAATTGAGAGCAAAGATAGAGTACACCTTTCTGTAATGGTTAATTCCTTTCTAATGATGTTTGTGAAAAATACACCTTGAGTGAAATAGGAAATTTGTGCGGTTGCTTCATGTGAAAGCTTGCTACTCTCCTGCGAAGGCATGTAAAATAATATAATATTGTAGGCCAAGCCTGAGAAGTGACAGGAGCCACCAGGACACAAGTGACCTCTCACCAGCAGGTCGGAGGGAAGGCATTCACCCATGCTCTGGCTATCCACTTACGAAACCTGAGACTGCTTCCTTGCTTTCTGTAATGAGCTACCCAGTGCAGGTAGATGGTATTTCTTAACTAGCATAGAGGCTTAGTGGGATATAGTCTGTTCTGCCTTGCTGCAGTGTGAGGAGGAATGCTTTTCAGATTCAGGCAGCACAGACCTGAAGCCTATGGTGTCCCATTTCCTTTCGCTGCCTCACCCCCTCCTTTCCATGCTCTCCAGGTACCATTTCTTGGACTCATTCACACTGCCCCAGTTCCAAGAGGATCTCTTCTCACTATAATTTCATGAAAATCTGGGTGAAGGAGTTTCAAAGTAGAAAATTAGCATGTTAGATGAGTGAGGCTGAAGAAAAAGTTGATGAATCAGATGTTTGGAAAGAAGGGGGAAATAAAAATGGGTGGAGAGATAGATGGTCTTGAGAAACAGTGGTGAGTGCCCAAAAGGGTACAAATTACTCAGGGAGAGCAAGGAATGAGCGAGGTTCTGTGCCCTTGAGAGCTTTCATTCCCAAGACTGTAGTTATATTCTTCTATCTTTCTGTTTTATTAGTTCATTAAATATTTCTTTCCACTGAGGTTTCTAACTGAGTGTAAATAGTCTGAACCTACTTTGGACTGTTACAGCAGGAATAGTTACAGATTTGTAGAGTATATTTGATGATCCAAGATAGGATTTTTGTCCTAGGGCAAATAGTTTCTGCAAAAATATCACTTTGAGCGATTGTATCAAATGGTGCTATTTAATAAAAGATGTCCAAAGCACTGTATAAAAACAGGGCTTTTCAACAGCACGTCTCTAGCAAGTACAGAATATGGCCCATAGTGTATCAACACAGAAAATGTTACTTTTACTTTGTACATTGGAATTAAAACTTTGAAAGAGCTATACTTTTAGAAAAACAACAAAACATTTTTCCACTTCCCTTTATTATATTTTTAGATATTTTGAACAAGTAAGTTAGTCTTTGTTTATATTACATAGGAAAATATAGACTGATATGGGACTTTGTACCAGTCAGTGCTATAAGAGTAGGTACTTTAATGTCATTGTGTTTATTTTTTTTCTTCTGTCCTTTTACTTTATGAGTAATTAAAATTATTAGGACTGGCATCCTAGACTCAAAGTGAATAGTTAATCAAGAAAAGTCATATGTAAATTTTTTAAACCAATGAATCTAAATATTCCCCAATCTGTAAATATGCAACTTACCTACATCATCCATTGCATTCATTTATTATTTTAATAAATGCTTATTAGTAGATATTTGTGTAACTGACATGTAGCATAAAAACCTCCTGGCGAGTTTATAGCCAGCATGCCCACAGTAAGGCCAGATGTCTCCTGGGCCACCATATTTCTTTTTGATTCCATATTTTTAAATGACCATTGTTCATGCAGTATGTATGCCCATGCATGTGTATATGTGTGCAGGTGGTTGGCATAGTTCTCTGTTCGCAGATATGGTACCTCACATTTTGGTGAAAACTTTGTGTCTACTTGGGAGTGGAAGTTAGAGCATAAAAGGCCAACCTAGCCGGGTCCTTAAATTCACTTTGAAAGGGGCAGAAGGGAGAAGGGAGCAAATGGTACAGGAGAAAGAAGGATGGTGATGAAATATGGAATTTAGGCTTATATAATCATTCATTCTTTCCACATGACTTGCCATGTACAGGCACAGCACTGGGCTCTGGGGAGCAAATGAGGACGCTTTGTCATTGACCCTGTGCAGCATATGAAGTCTAGAGGGAAGTGACCATGGTCTGAGGGCAATGTGATTTGTCAGTCAGGCCTAACTGGGGACTAGGGAGGTCAGAAAAGGCCTTCTCTACTCTCCTCATCTCTACTCTACCTCTACTGCAGTCTTGAGCTGTGCCAAGAATGTACAAGCCCAGATTTTAGAATATTTTAGCTGTTTTATCAAGTGAAGTTGTTGATGTGGATAGTATCGGTGAGTACTTGGATAAGTAGACTAAGGAAAAGTCTTAGTCTTTGGAAACTGGAATGTGCTTAAAGGCCAGTGAGTCATCTGTTTTGCTGAAACTGGGGGCTTGTGGGAGGGGACATTTAACTCAGCTCGAATAAGCTGGGATGAAAGTAGGTCTGTCCCAGAGATTGCTAGGTCCCAATGTGTCTTAAACATTGTACGGTATACTTACATTAGTTTTATTATTTGTCACAGTTAATGTATAGATTTTGCATTTATGTTATTGTCTAAAATCAGTTTTGTTTGTTTGTTTGGATTAGCCTGGGAACCCAGTCACCATTTTTAATAATTCTCTGAGAAAAGACATTCCAAGTTCTAGGCAGCTAATTAAAGACAAATAAGTGGACCATTACCAGTTCCTAACATGGGATGTCCTTTGGTCAGTGTTTTTAATGAGGTTCTAGAGTTATCCTTCTCTGATAACCTCCCTGAAGCCTCTAAGAGAGCCATGCCATTTTATGGTGTATTTTGGTTTGTTTGGTTCTTGTTTTTCCCTTCATCACAGCCTGTTTTGTTTTTGTTTTTGTTTTGTTTTGTAGCAGATTCCTGGGCTTTAATTGCTGATGCTTTTGTCCATTCCCAAGAGCATATAGCAGAAATCCTATTGCAGATGGAATTCCAGGAGGGTAAAACAATGCAGATTCTAAAACTGGTATCAGGACACAGTTTTATACAGTTAGATTCTTTGGCTTAGGGAGAAAAGATTTTAAGAATGACCCAGAGAATTATATCAGACAGTGCATCTATGATCTTAAGAGAAACAAAGAAGTTGGTCATCCTTTAAAAATTCAATTTACTTTATTTTTTCCCTCAAGTCATATGGTAATGCCATTAGTGAATGCTTTAATATTGTTAACGTAAGTATTATTTTGGATTTGAGTCACTTATTATATTGAATTAAACATATATTAGCACATACAGAAAAGCTGTGTAACAGAATTTGCCTTTTCTCACTTTAAATGACTCTTTTTTCCTTTTCATCATCAAGACATTTCTCCTGTTAACAAGTCAAGGGGCTATTGTTTTATTTCCCTTTGGACAGAGACTGTATTTGAATATATTTTTTAAAACCATGTGAGTTTGGAC